CTTCGCATTAGTGAGTGAGATAGAAATTCGAATAAACCCATTAAAAATTTATAAACTGCTTGGCACCTATGAAGTCGTAGGTCCTAAAGGCGACGATTTGTCAAAACCTTAACTAATAAACGGATTTCACCATAAATGTACGTGTAGGACACTGAAGAAAGAACCCACAGTGCTCAATGGCAATGTTCTAAGAAGGCCGAACGTGGAATCTATCACTACATTGTACTCTTCGACTCTGTTCCTGCACAGTACAGAGCCATGATCGAGGATTTCCTCGACCCTTGGCCACTGTCCATGACACGCCGAACATCAGTGATTCTAATTTCTAATTTTCTAATTCTTGGGTCCTTACTGCGTTTTAGAGCCCCCATCCCGCAAGATGAGACTCTCGACTCGAAGAGTGGCTGTCATTACCGTGCCGTTGCTCGAGGTCATGGCGGACTCGAATCGTTGCATATGAAGTTCTGATGCATTCCCGCTGCAAGGTTGCTGCTAAACAGGTTACCAATCCTGCTTGGTTACTTCTCCTCTCCTCGAAGGGATCAGAAGCCTCGTGATTCCATAGTAAGTTGAGAAAGATGAACGTCAAACCGAGGACTTCAAACAGGGGGTGTATCCTATTCTTAGTCTCCAAGAGAACACGTTCCTCTTTTCTGATGCTCTCCTAAGGTTAAGACAACGATGCGTCATAAGACTAGCCACACGTTTGCGTTTTGAACCCTCCAGCGACCTCTCGAGGGTAAAGTGCTCCAGCAGCAGAGGATCGCAACGGCGTTCATGGTCTGCAGGCTACTTGAACACTTGAAAGCGTCGACGCGCCTTCTGTTCTCTATCGCCTAAGTAGGATTTATGACTGTCGTGACCTCGTGCAGTCAGACGTTTGCTACCCAAAATTGGCTCACACATCTTCAGGGTCAACACTGGCGTTGAACGGATCTCACCCAACCATCACCACCATGGCTATGGCTGCTTTCGTAGCGTTCAATTCTGAGAAATGTCGATACACTTTAGTTCACACCACAATTCCCACTACAATTGCCTTCGAGAGCGGGAACACATATTTTTCAAGAAACGGGCAATTTATAAGTCGTCAATGATGCATTTTCTTGAAGTGGCTTCTGTCAAAATTTACTGGAACTCCGTCACGACCCGGTCTTCCTGCCCGCAAACCCGTCAGACCGTCCTCCAGTTGCCCGCAAACAAACCCACTCATTTTTTCAGAAAAATACAGACCGCCCTTCGATCTTACAAGGAGGTCGTTCAGGTGTGCCAGCTTTTCAAAACGGTCTTTTGCATGATATAGGGGCACATGCGGGAACCACAGAACCATGGTTAATTTTTCCTGAACGGCCCTCTGAATACCAGAAAAGGGGGTCCCTAGTCACACCTTTTTCACCAGTTTTTCAATCAAAGTCTATTTGTAAGGGTTACTGACGGTTCCTAATCATGAATATGGTACTAATTATTCATGCTAACTCCATTTTGCGCGAACTTTGATTGAAAAACTGGTGAAAACGAGTGTGACTAGGGACCCCCTTTTCTGGTATTCAGAGGGCCGTTCAGGAAAAATTAACCATGGTTCTGTGGTTCCCGCATGTGCCCCTATATCATGCAAAAGACCGTTTTGAAAAAGCTTGGCACACCCTGAACGACCTTGTAGGTTAGTTCGACAAACCCTATATCACGGCACCTCTTCAAATCGCGAATACGACCGCCGTCTCCCCGTCTGGACTGACCAAATGAACGCTGACTCCTCCCCCAATTTCAGCCACATTCCACCTAGAGAAAGAGCGCGTTGGACATTTTTCACGGACCTAACTCCACTTGCTCCAGTGAAAATAACATTGGACGCAATGGGACCGCTCCGTCAAATGCGCCCGCGCTTTTCCAAGCAGCGCCACGTGGCAAACCGACAGCGAAGGGTGGGGCTTGCGGACGAAGATGGTGTGAGTTGCTACGTACGAGCTCTAACGCATGTGGGGCCTACATCAACGCTGTCCACCTGTCTACTACCCCAGGATGGATGTGTGCGCGCCTATCCCGGAGCGTGCCTCTAAGGACTGTACTGATCTGCCTCTAAATTAACAGTCAAGAAAAATATAACTTAAAGAGAACTTTTTCTTAACCGAGCTGCCATGGGGAAAAAAAAAAAGGGGGGCGTTTTGGGCCAACTCCTCGAAGTGCTTTGCTTAGTTAAGCATCTCGAAATTGGTATAGAAGCTGGCGGATTGCCATCGGTCACGAGTCCATTCTTGCACGGCTGATTCGAAAAGGTTACATGATAAATCGCAAGTCTCAGAAAGCAATCACCCCCCACTTAAAAGCCCCTAACGGTACAAGACGAGGCGCTTTCACCAGCAAAGAATTTTACGCCCGTTGTGCTTCAGCCATAGCCGCGCTCGCAAGCCTACACAAAGCTTCGGAATTCTAAGCCGCAGGATACTAAGCCGAACAGCAGCGCAAGTAGAGAGCCCACGTTGATGGCGTTCAGCACCAATGGCACTCGTCCAAGATCGGAAATTCACGGGCAGAAAAAGTTTTTGTTTCTAGGCCGCTTTCCCCTTTTTCCTCATCCCTGTTTCGCCGATCATCTTCTTTATCGAGAGGCGGTTTTTTTTTTACCGTGAACCGCTATGATGTGCGTGAGAAGGAGCTCACTTGAGTATACCTCCCAAGCATTTGCTAGATAGGCGTCTCGAACAATCAAGAAGCGACAGTACCATCATTGCGCTGAGCTCTGCTCAACAAGACTTTGCGATAGCCGTTAACTGACTGTTTTGGGTAGATTACTAACGTCCAGGCGACCACATCACCAAAAGTAGATAGGGTTGAGCAGGTGATTCGACAAAAGACGATCACTTCCAGTCTTTGTCTTCCACAAGGCTTTTAGAAATTGAAGGGCATTTTTGCAGGCGGTGTACATTCACTATACATTCGATAACATTCCACTGCTTACCATGTATTTCATAAAAGGGCTACGTAGCTCGATGTGGCCTGGAATATTTTGTCTATTTTCAGAATTCTGTGACTGTTTCTATTCACACCCGCGTGACAAGTGTGCCCTATTGTGAACGAGTACCAATTTTGGAGGAATCGTTCTCAAGACGAGACTTCTTGCGCCTGAAAACACTCTTGACAAAACTTGATTGCAACCTCAAGAGCCTCAACTTCAATAAATAGGAACACCGTAGGTACGGAACGCTATTTCTACAATTGCCCCTTCTGGCGCAATTCCTTACCCACTAGCTCCAGCAACGAGGAGAATGCTCTGGTACAAACTTCCTCTAGCTCTTTATGCCCCCTCACCCTCTTTCAGCTCCTCTTCAATTTCACAGACATTTTCTACCTCTGATTTAAAGTAACCCGTGATCGTGTATTCAAAAAGAAAATCTATCACCACTATTCCGGAAATGAGAGAGAAGTTGATCCTTTCGCATACGAATTTCCAATCCTCCCAGACCCAGAAGCTTACCTTCTTCCTAACTACTAGGAAGGTCTCCCAGGTCACGCCTGCTTTTCAAAACATTTTTTTGCTTGAAATAGGGGCACGTGTACGGGACACAGAACAATGACTCTTACTGAGTGGCTCCCTGAATACCAGTGAGGGGTTGACAACCGAGCGCTGCATCTATTTGACACATGTTCTGAGTAAAATCCTGTTCGCATTGGTCACCGATGACCCTTGCTGTAATAAAATATCCACAACTAGGTTCAGGTACTTTTGCGACATGACGGAAATCAAATCATCCAAAAATACAAAACTTTGCCACCACGGGGATTCGAACCGGTGGCCAAGCTTTCGTACCACCTTTATGGCTCGGGGGCTCTCAGGAAAACCAAGGCATAGTTCTATATTCCAAGCACGTGTCTGGACTGTACACAATTCAAAAAACCGCTCTAAAAAATCGAGGCAAGACCTGAGCACCTTACTAGTTAGACTAATCTTCAACCATCTCCGAATCTTCAGACTTACTCTTGGCATCCGCACGACTAACCTGGATCACATACCCATTTTTCCAAGGACAATAAAATCGGTTGTTGACTGTGCACTACTGTTCCTTCCAAAAGCATCTTTAAAACCTTCAGTGAGGTTTCAATGGACAGTTCTCATGCATGGTTTTGAAGGGTTCAGTGAACCTCCTGAAGCGCTCTAAAGTGGGGCAGCTTCACTGGGGATGTGGCAGAAATCGCTTCTTCCCTCTGCAAACCATTTCGGGTAACATCTTTTGAAGGCACAACTTTAACTTTACTCTATTTTTGGGGTTCGTCTCGTATGTGGGTAGGGAAGAAAAGTAAAATCACTCTAACAGTCTGCAAAAATAAATAGTTCGACATAAGTGCAAGTTTGTAGCAAGTTGTTTATGAAATTGTTTAGTTGTTGGTGAATTCACAGGACTTCTAGGCCGCATTTTGTTTGTTTCCCGTCTCCTTTCGTGCTGCTCCTTTTAGCCCAAGTATGTTGGGTTGTAGACCGAAAAATGAGCTTTCTACGAGACACTATCTTGCTTGAAATATCGGATATTCTTCTGAACCATGAAAGATACGCAACATGCTAATGTTTTGGGATGCAAGCTAAGTGCGAAAGCTGCCGACGCTTAATATAACTGCTATACGGTAAGTCAAGTTCAGGTCCTGTAATAGGGAAGTAGCTGCAGCTTGCCAACCTTCCCACAGCTCAGTGGCTCAAAGAAATACCCGAATATCGGTGAACTGAACTTCTCATCTTGTAAGCTACTTTAATGGTAAACATTATGTATAAATTAAAAGACAACTGGGTTTAACATGGCAACCGCACAATATTAGCCAACAACCATATAAACTTAATATCCTCTCTATCCCGCCTGCTGAATGAAAAGCAGTGTGGCGTAATCTCACGAAAGCCATTAGCAAATAGAGCTAAACGCCCCCGCAATTCGCCTTTCGTCTTGCCACAGCTGTTAGCAACGTTATTTTCCACATCTTCCTCTGTCAAGTCACAGCGTAATGAATGACATTGCAGAATGTTGAGCCCTGCTGAAGTGAAGATGCACGTGAAGAAAACACTTGAGGCGATTCCAATCGGATCGGACCCGGATGGTATTTATGGAGGGAAAGGATTCTATATGTAGTAAGTGATGCATCAGAAAAAGTGCGTTGCTGTCTTCATCGGGTCGTTTTCATACTTGGCGCGGTGCGGAACGTGCAGACCAGGGTGAATATCGGTTGAGGATTCCTCAACGGCTTGTCGAGGATTTTCGCCTGATCAGTTACGCTCTCCCGCGCGGACATTCACACTCGCCATGCGCGAGCCGTCTGTGCTCTCCGCGCGTACGTTCACTCTCGGCACTACTCTCGCACAGTACAGAGCCATGGTCGAGGAATTCCTCGACCGTTATTCACCTTGTGCAGACACTGCGTAACGTGCCAATCGCGCGAGCCCTACGGACAGCTTAGAAAACGCAAGTGCGGAATTCAGTGAAGAAACGCGGGGCCTATTCCAGCTAGAAGGGGAGGGGCATCATGATGCTGTTTCTCGGCGAATTCGGACATTTCAGCTTTTCAAGCATGACTGCCATCACCCCCCACCCCCGTAGACTGGCTACATCCCCTGCCTCGGAGTTACCCTGGCTTTTTGGAAAAAACTACATCATGATGCCCCCCCCCCAACTGGAATAGACCCAAAACGCGTTTTATGGCTCTATTCATGCGTCCCCACCTTGCGGAACAAATCGTTTTGTGAACGTGCTTCAAACGATCCTCCACCACCCTGGTAACCGCCATAGGTCGGAAAATGATGCTTAGTTTGTCGAGCTTCCTCGCCAGCGTTTGTTGGGTGGTCACAGTGCAGTGTTTCCATGAGAAATTTGATATTGATTCAGTATATATTTGAAAACTTTTTTTACCAGGATCTTTCATGGTCAGTGTTGTGAGAAAGAAGTATATCATCATTTCATCATTTCAGTATGTTTACTCATCATCCGGACCTTCGAAAGTTCTTCAAGGGAGCTGAAAACTTTTCTGGAGATGATGTCCAGAAAAGCGAAAGGTTTGTATATTTACTACGAGGAAGTACAATACGGGATTCGGGACCATTCTTGCCTAACAAGGGCAAGAGATTTCCAAAAATTTCTCCGAAACTTCTGTTGTATTACTAGGCGGTTATTTGGGTACTAGCACGATTAATTACCTAAAATACGAGGTTTGAGGGCCGGAGTAAAATGTTATGCAGCAAGCTTATCGGATATTTTTCAGTGTGGCGCTGTGGAGAGGTCTTAATCCATAACGACAGCTAGCGGTATTTTTGCGTGCGCCATTGCGTGACGGCACGCGCCACAGAGGTAGGTTTATGTAGGCTTATGCGAACAGCAGGGTTAAGACGGGGCTAAAGTAGGTCTTGTCTCATCATCCAAAAGAAGAGATTTCCGTTGACGACAAGTTCGTAACCCGCCTTTCCGCTCTAAAACTAGGGTGCAAAGAATGAATGGAAGCTGCAGGTGAAATCATGGAAAAATGCGGAACAACAACCCCGAGCAAGGATGTGGCTATATTTAGGGGAAGGGGTCTCGGGACGAGTGAACCATCTGTAAGCCATCCATCAAATAGTAAGCTTATGAAAATTAAGACAAATGTATGTAAAATTTATTGTAGGTTTGTCAAAAATCCACTCGTCCAGGTCCTGGGAAGATATGTTATTCCACATTGCTGAGAGTATATACGGGTATATTAAGATTGTTAGAAACGTAACAAAAACAAAAGAAATAATCGTGCGCCACCATGTGGCGCACGCCGTCCGTTATGGGTTAACGGCTAAGCAGAGTCAACCCTGCGTTGCGCAGTTCTCAACGGCCACGTTGCGCAGTTTCGCCCGATTAGACACGTTCTCTCGCGCGAACATTCACACTCGCATGCTCGAGCCGTCTGTGTCTCCGCCCATACAGCGTGCGTTGAGGATCTCTCAACGTGCCGTTGCGAACTGCGCAACGCAGGGTTGACTCTGGCTATAGGCTCTTGGACATTACCGCCCCTGAATTTATAATAAACTACATACATATTTAGATTTGACAAACAGGGTCAACGAATCCAGCTGGCCGTTCACATCTTGGCCGACACAATGGACGATGTGAGTTCGTGGAACTCGATATGTTTCCATTTCTGGCTTGTTTACTCACACAACAAATGACCTCTGGAGCAGGGTCGGTCCTATCGTTGTTACTTTCTGAAAAAATTTTTACGACCCCCCCCCCAAGGTGGATTTGATACGACCCCCTTTTCGACACCTCGACCACCATCATCGTCTCTATACTTAATTCTGATACCACTCAACCCCCCCACTCTTTTTCGCAAAATGCCGTCGAGCTGGGGGGGGGGGGG